AGATTATGAAACACACACAAAAAAAATTATGAAATAGGAAACTTAACTTGCCCAGTAGTGTTTCTGTCGTTCTAGAACGAAAACGTAGTAAGTGCGATATGAGTTGCACGATGTATGTGCATGCTATATATGTGTGTGTAACACAGATATTGTAAAGCAAGACATCCTTAAATTACTTTAAAGAGATTTTTGATTCACTACAAAACCTTAGTAAGAAATCAAGAAAATGTTATTACTCCACTTTTTGATACAAACACATTCTATTGTATATAAAAAATTATTTCAATAAAAACATTTTATATAAGTTACATAATGTATAAATACCTTTCTTAACTGCCTCCGTAACTCAACAGTTTATATGACATAAGACATGGTTTGACAGATCACAAAACAGACTCAAAAAATTGTCTGAACAAAACATATGTAGAAAATACTCATTCGTGTTGTATGAATTTGGCCTTTATTAATAATAATTTTGGCTCATCCAGTCTAGTGCTCATTTCTAATATCAACGTCAATACTTCATACGAGAAGGTGCACGGCACACATACACCATACGTCTGATGCGCTCTACGAATATTCCATAACAGAAAACTATGGAGCCGGTAGCCAATTTTTTTTTAGTTAATATATATAGTTTTTCTTTTTTTAAATGCTGTCTGATGTCAGGTTTTAGTGGTTACAGGAATTGTATTAAACTAATTGAAATGTTTTATTATAGTTCAATACTTATTCAAGTTATAACACCATAGAAACATTATGTTTTAAACGTTCATACACTGGACTCGAATGTTTAAAATACAATTTCTATAATACTATTCGACTCCATTCATTTCTCTACCAACAGATGCACACAAATGCAGCCTCCACCTGTGTGCGAGCTCGTCTTGAGAATAATATATTTTTGTTGCTTTATATATTTTTTACTGTATTTTTATATCTTACCTCCGTATCTCAAGTTTTTCTTCAGTTTCGTTCACAAATTTTATATTCAAAAGATATTTTAAGGTAAAACATCTCTTTGATATGTGAATATAATGAGGTATTTTCGTATAAAGCTTGTCGTTTTTAATTAATATAGTATGTTTTTGTATTTAAATATGACATCGTGACAATAATATATCTATCACTGTGACTCAGTAGGTTGAACACGCTGTATAGTTCGATTGGGGAATTAATGTACCAGCTTGGAAGTACGCTATGAAATAAAATCAGGTCAAATTGATAACCTCCTTCGATATTTTGTAGTCGGTTAAATTATAAATTAAATGTGTTTTATAATTAATTGTCTCGTATGGAACTTTGCATAGTTCGGAATTATTTAAATCACATTTAATACACTTGCAACCAGCCACTTCTCGATACAAGGAACAAAGCGTCAATCTAGAAATATATAGATATTATATAATGATTTCAGAGTAACATCATTATATCAAAGAATTAATTCAGTTCAGCAATCTTACCCACCAATCCAAATTTGAGTCGTTTGAATGATGTTCCAACATAAAAAAATCAATCCGTGCAATGTCTAGAAAGATAGTGCATGCATCACGCCAACATCACATAGTTTATTATATTTTTCTAGGTCGAACAGCGTCTTGGCAGAACAATAGCTGATATGCATATATTTGTCAATTTAACACTTTTCTTATAACCCATATAGACTTAGCTAGCTTAGCAATAAATGTTTTCAGAAGTGGTTAGAAAAATTTTAACTAAAAAAGTTAGTAGTGCTAAGTTTATTATAGGTAAATTTTTCGAGCAAAGAACGAATTATGGATATGATAAAATATTAATAGAACACGTAGATACAATAGGTACTTGACACAATATTCACATATAAAACAATAATTCAATTAGAAATTTCATCTGTAATATGAAATTAGCTTGTCTAAGGTCCAATGTCCCACACTATTACTATACTTTGTAAAATGTAACTACAGTATTTAATTTGCATTCAAAGATGATAATAAAAAGTGGCGATCAAATAAATAAAAAAACAATTGAAAATTTACTTCTTCATAACGTTGCTTACAAGAACTTAGAAGTACACAGTTGATGTATAAATATATCTTCTATAACGAATAGACAAGCACAGACATCAAATAATATTTCTCAACGTTCCTCGGTTTAATAAAAAACCTTTAAAAATAAAGAAAAACCATAAAAGCAGCCGTCTTGCGATGCGTTATCATTTTTATATGTCCCCCTCAACCCTTTCCACCCCCCTCCTTCCTAGATGCAGACACACACATAAAACATGTATCTATAAATGGGTTAAAGAAAAATGTGTCTACCTGAAAACGTACGATGCATGCATTTTTTTATTCCCCTTACATTTTCTTTCCATCCGCGATTCTCATATCGCGACATAAAACTGAAAAATAGATTTAAAAACAACAAGTAAAAATTACCTTTATAAAGCAGAAGATAAAGGTGAAAATACCGTGGCGCAGTGCAAAAAACAGAGCACCACTACATGAAAATTTCGCTCGCATACACGAAGCCGAGCCGTTTAGAAAAAAAAATAAAACACACACATATAAATTGCATGCAGTTCGAAAGGGATGCACTCAGAGTCATAAAATACGCACACAGGTGCAAACGCTCACACATAAGTGCAATCACGATGCATACATGTATGACGTTAACACACTGCCGCGTCTAAGAAAACTTTCCATGTGTTGTGGAAATGCTTTTCCTTGCACCAACCTCTCGGGAAGAGTTTCATAGCGAATACCTCGCGGTAAAGACATCTCGTTCTTAAAAATTCAATTTCTTCACAAAATAAATTTAAAACACTATCTAATATGAATAATCTACTCGAATTAAAAACACTCTTCACCTGTATTTCGGAGCGCGTTTCAAATTCAAAAGTGTCAAAAAGCGTTTTAGTTTACGCGCCAAATTAGTGATGGACTAATGTCGATTGTCGACAATTTGATTGCATCGTTGGCGTTAATAGGCACGTGGCAGTGATGTAAATGTGTGCATTAATGAGTGTTTAGATGTGCGCGTTTTGTCTCTGTAGATCGTTAATAAGTGTGTGTTAAACTCACATGAATCATTCATAGATTAGTCGTAAATTATATACGGATATATCAAGATAAAAAAATTATAAACGTTTATTAAAAACCATTTATGAATAAAAAGATAACATGTAATCTAATTTCTTCGAATATTCATGAAATCGTAGACCATTGCTTTTCATGATTACTGACACACGTGATTTTAAAACCGTTTAGTTATTATACAGGAAAATTTTCTTTTTCGTAATAGTACTGTTACATGATAGATATTAATACCTATAAAATATATATTAATCTAATAAGAAAACTTCTACTTTGCTTATAAAAACTGTAAGTGCCAGCTATGTTGCTATCTATTTAACTAACAAAGAAATATCATTTTTTTTTATTTAAACTGTTAATGTACTATAAAAAGTGCTATTGTTACAATTTGTCCATTAATAGTATATGCTAGTACTGTGCCTCTTGCTTTCGTAATTTAATGCCCGATTTGTTAACAACTCATTTAAGGAAGCATTTTGCAAAATACAATTGTTTGAGGCTATTTTTATATAAATCTATGCAGAAGGGCTTAAGCAATCGTTAATCCTTAAAAAAAACAACTCATAAATAAAAACAAATATCTGGTTAATTTAAATTCTCAGAAACTGTTTAGTGGTTTAGACGCCATACTAGAGACTATTATACTAGAGAGAATACTAAGATTTCATGTTACGTTGAAATTATAAATTGAATAACGGCTTTTATGGGTGAAATGCAATTTCTATTTCACCCAGCATAAAGGTATTTTAGTGCAGACGACCTACTCTACTTCTGGCAATCGATGTTTTTATTTTAGGACCTGTTTTTCTTCTAAATGTCGCTAAAAGATTCTTAATTTAGTTTTATTATCCCGTGAACTTCGTATCCCCTTAATATGATTTACTTAGCCTACCTTTTTAGTACATACCATATGGAACATTTTGCTATGCTACGCCATAGAGACTGTTCACTTTTCCGGAATAAAACCAATTTTTTTCTCTTCATAAAAACCTTCCTCAGAGTTGAAGAAATATATTAAAAAAATACTTGAATTGGTTCAGCCGTCTTCGAGTTTTGCGCTTAGCAACATATTTTTTTAGCAACGATTCATTTTTGTTTATATATATTCATACAAAAATTTTCAATAATTATTTCAAAGAAATATTTTAGATATGGAAATCATATAAAATTATACAATTGGAAAAGTTTTGTAGTTCTTAAGAAACTTTATCAGTTTTTGGCAATGTCCGGGCTGATTCATAATACTTGAACTTTTTGTAGTTGAGGCAATGTTACCCGATATCAGTTTTCAGTTATTATTTATATAATATATATTATATAGTAAAATTATTTTTAGGTAGAAGGGTGATAGAACTAAGTTTTTTGTAATACCTTGGGGTAACAATTTTCTTGGGTCCATCTGGTTTTGTTTTGGCCCTTAATAATATAGTCTTATAAGATATAAAATATAGTCTATCAATCTTAAAAACCAGAACTCTTGCTTCAATTTAAGTATTAAAAGGTAACAAAAATCCTTCTTTCTTTATAAGTGAAATATCAAATCTTGCAGAGCTTATTTTTATAAAGCTTTATAATTAAAGGTTACATGACATTATGACTGTTTACAACTTTTAAACGATGCAGTGTTATATTGCACTGCTCACGCCGGACCATCACTCGTTTATATTCCAACAACGATGCAATCAATAACTTTGTTATACGTTATCCGATGCCTATAAATATTACCAAATAGAAACCGTTTCTTATAAGAAATTACGAAACGGGTGAAGATTGTACAACCTCAATATGAATAAAATGATTTCAGTTACGGTCCAGCCACCTCCTAATCCAACGATAGTTCCTATACTTACCTAAAACTTTAATGAAGAAATATCTATTTTGTTTTTAAATATAGACTAGATTATATTAGAATAAGTGCGAGTGCCAATAATGTCTGTGACTCTATCTAATATTTACGTAAAGAAAAATTTCCCAATGAAGCGAGAATTTGAAGATTTTAATGAAGATAAGGACGCCGAAGCTTTCAGTGACGAAAACGAGTCAAGTGATGTAGAAAATTCAAATGATAATGCGAACACAGCTTTAGATTACTCTGAGAATACACTGTCATTGAATCCTGTTGCTGACTACATTAAGAAAGAATTCCTACCAGATTTTGACTTCAATCCGTTTAGAAATCAAAATATTTTTAAAGATGGCTTCCAAAATGCTAGGACACCGTTTTTATTACCATCTCAATTATACAAAAGCTTTTTGGCGACACTCGGAAAGAGACGAAGAAATGTTACGGACTGTTATTCATTGTATTCGAGAAACATGTTGTTTTCTAATGGATTCGGTTTTGAAGTATCTGATGATGAGAATGGTGATCGAACTGCTGACTCGCCGGATGAGGTAACTTTATGTAAAAAATATGAGAAACAGTTAAAAATAAAAGGTCAATATAAACTACAACACTTCCTTGAACTGTTAAAACTTAAACTACACGATATTAGTACGATTATTAATATTGTACTTTAATGTACTGTATATAAGTATATTATAATACTAATAAGCCTCTCATTCTCATTAGTATTGAGTTGACAGTTTCTTGTTAGACCTTTCTCTTCATATATTTGTTTTTAGCTAATCTAATAAGTTTGAAGGATAAAATTTTCCCCATGTTTTTGTCCACAAACTATTCCTATAAAATCAATAACTTAATCAAAAATATTTTACCAGTCTACTTTTTAGCTGGAGCCGAAATTTTATAGCATTTATTAATGCATACTATAGTATAGTACTGGAATTATAATGTGATGAAACATGTAAGCCTCTTAATGACTTGGTTTTTAGAGGCTTTCGCGCGGTGGTGTGGGCAATTAGCAAATTTTTTGATGCAAACAATTAAGACTAGTATTGTTCCAGAAGGCGGGTGCATCATCAGCCTTCGTGTGGAGTGGAGGGGGAGTCACGGGGGGTGGGGGGCAGGAGCAACAGCAACAGACCAGTGTGCCCACAGGTAAGTGTTCTAGTAAGTTTTATTTCTTATTAGGCCTGAGTTGGTAAGACAAAATTTATCTAATAGTGAATACAAGTTGAACTAAAGCAGGGACACGAATGAAAGCAAATCCATTTGAGTTGTTCGTTTCGTATGCCAATTATAAAAGAAATGGATTTTATTTTAAAGTATCACGATTGATCAGTAATAGACACGGGCGTTTAACCTCGATAGCAGTGTGAACATGTAATAAAAAAAGAGTATGAAGTAGTATGTATTTGTATGTTGCACTACAAGCCTCAAATCGTCAATATATTATCCTTTTTCCTATCATATTAATTAGCCAATAATTGATAGATTTTTTTTAATTAATTACTTGTGTTCTGTTTATTACTGGTCTCAAATAAATACTGAATCACACCACATTAATAATACAGACGAATATTATTCATAATCTTAACTGATTTTCAGATCATCTGTTCATGATAGCATAAATACAATTTGGTGAACAAAAACGTATATATATAATTTAGTTATAGTTGAAGTTTAGTTAAAACGCTGCAATAACACAGATTTTTATGAGACCTAGATATATATCTATTCAGACAATGACAGAAACAATTATGAATTAATTCTTTGATAATCTATTAGGCACTTCTGGTGGTGGCGGCGCTCAGGGCCTGGTACACTGGATGTCGGTGATGGCTGAACACATGGGAGGGGGTCATGACCCCTCCCACTACGCTCTACCCCCCTGGAATAATGGTGCTGTTGATGTAAGTACTATAGTCTTATTAAAGATACCTTAAGATTAGATGTACCAACATACTGAGTAGATTCGAACGTCATAATATATTCGTTATAGTGGTTTTATACTAAGTTTTATTCTACATTAAGAGTGTATCTTAGAGTCTAAAAACTGCTCCTTTCAGGCCGTACGTTTAGTTTATTTTGGTAAATACAACGCCAATAAGCAATCTTTATTAGGTAGAGTATTAGGTTAATTAGGAAATTACTAATTGGTAGACTATATTTGTAAATATGTGGACTAATACAAATTAAAAAAATCTAATGAGGTTTAAGAAAACCGTGAAAATTTTTCTATGTTACTACGCGCAAATCTCAAAGACCGCTGGACCGTTCGTAAACTCTAAGGAAGGTTTTTATAGAGGGCAAAATTGGAAAAGAGCCTACGTTAAAAAATAATATTAAGCTGAAACGTATTTCGCGGGGGCTAGCTATTAATTAATTAAACGTTGCATTAAAGCTAAATACATAATAAAAGGACTTATGACTTATCCTTAATGTTAATTAGCTTAACTTGATATCTTATAGTTCCGCCGGAAATTGAACCCGTCCTGGGTTAAATTAATTTACAATATACAAAATTTTCTTATGCTTATAAAAACAATGCTAAAATTATCAGATTAGACTAACCGCTGTTTAAAGCTAAACTGCAGTTCAAACTATAATTAACACGTAACTGAAGTTAATTGCCGCATTATAATATACATTTACATACAGCGAAGTTTAACTTAGCTATTAAATACAGGCGGTTAAATACTTGTTAATTTATTCTTAACATAGCTTACAAATTGTATTTAAATGGGTAATTAATTTACCAATTACCTGATTTAAACTTAAACGTTTCTTGAGCTTTGGTTTCGTAACCGCGTTTTAATATCGGAGTAGTTTTGTCAATTTTTATGAACATATTTTACAATATGTATTAAATATTCTTAAAAGGCCGGCAACGCACTCGCGAGCCCTCTGGCATTGAGAGTGTCCATGGGCGGCGGTATCACTTAACATCAGGTGAGCCTCCTGCCCGTTTGCCCCCCGTTCTATAAAAAAAAAAACTATAAAGTTGTCCCTTGGTTTCATGTTAGAATGGACACATAATATGTCTAGGAGAAGAACTAATTAGTAACCAATATTAATGTGTTACTAATATTATTTTAAAACGTGTAAGCCAGAAATGTAAATACACTTTTAAAGTAAAAAATAAATGCAGGTGTATAGAAATTACTTATATATTTAGAAAAAGAACACTTTTTGATTGTTGGTTTTCAAAAAATAGTCCTTTTAACCGACTTCAAAAGCCGAAGAATTAGTGAAGTGACTGTTTAACGTGTATTTTTTGTATAATGTCTAAAGCTTATTAGAAATGACACACGGGAGTAAAAGCGCTAAGTCTCGTTTCTGAATCTTACCGATATCCCGAAGATGTTGCTAAGAAGAGTACAAGTAATAGAAATAGTTACACTTGTTCAAAAACAGTTAAGGTATTCATAACATATCACGGCGCTAAAAATATCGTTTCTTATACGTGAATGAAATTATAAATGCTTAACTGACAATTTCTCACGCAAATAAACGAAATGGATCATTTGAAAAAATCGCGTGTCGCCTACTAAATAGGTCTAGTTTAATTCTAAACGCATCATTCACGCTGCATAATGTAACCGATAAAGTAGCCTCTTTGCCATAGGAAATAAGGACTATATCATGCAATTTCTTTTACCCTTCTATTATTCTTTATAGATATAAAACCTTATGTGAATGAAATAAGACCTATTTTGGTCTGAGACGAAGTGTGTCGGATTAGGAACTATCATATTGATGTGATTAATTTTTGATTTTAGAATTTTTGCATAATCATGGGAATGGGGTAGCGACTAATGACATCATTAATTTGTGATTTTTTATTTAAATCCTGGGAAATTTATTTTAAAGAATCAGAGATTCATATTATAGAAGCTGCATATAGGAATAAGTTTAAGTACATAAAATTAAATGTACAGCATTCAACATTATATATTATTACCTAAAATATATTTTGTACCAGAATACAATTTAGAGTATTATTTTTAAAACTTACGTCAATTTAAGAATATACTATACCTACGATGTTGGAGAGACAGTATCTTTCTTCATCCTCAAGTTGCTGCATTGATGAAATTGTAAAAAAACATAATTTTATCTTTAATATTTCAACGAACATGCTATATTAGCTTTAGCAATTTTATGTCGGCTAATAAATGTTCACCAAATGATAGATTGTGGAGATTTTTTATTTTTAATAACCCCACACTGCACAAGTATAAGATCAAGTAGGCGACGGAAGCTAGTATTTTGAAAATCTTGGAACCTCTGAAATTGTCATCATTGAGTGTAAAGTTTTATTTTTACACGCATCAGTTAACATTAGCCAAATAACTTACTTTTAAATTAATGTTCAAAATTATATGATTTCAATATACACTACTATAAACGTTACATCTCAGCATACAAAACAAAACGTAATTAGAAACTTACTGATGCCACTCTTTAATCAAAAACAGTGCGTTCAATCTGGTAAGATTTAAAAACTAGACAAAATTTTGACTCCCGTATGACACAATCCCATACGTTTTACAAAATACAAAAGGCACACTGCCTTTTCTGAATATCAGCTTCATTGCCTAAGAAATGGTTAAACATAAAAAAAATATCCTATTACCACAATGAGCATAATACTATTACGTAATAATATTGCAACAACATTTATAGACGGCTAAGGAAAAGTATGGCTTTAACTGATATTATACAAATAACCACATTGTTAGGAGAGAAAGAAAAAAAAGACTTCAGATGTTTGTACGAAAAAAACAGCGCACCAATATGCATGGGTCATAGCAGAGTTGCAGTGGCTGTTTTTGTGTAGTGCATTGTGCCTTCCTTAACACGTTCACTGCGGCAAGTAAAATCATAATTCTTCATCAGGTGCGGCGGCGGGCCAAAATGCGCCCCCAATGATATTTCCGCCAGTGCGTGGCAGGTCTTTCTAGACCCAACAGCACTAGGATAGATTAACTCTCAGTGGATGCACAGCAGCGTCAGTGCGTGTTAGGTCGATAAAATCCTGCCGTTATGTTTTGATGGGGAACACCTACAATTTTGACCGCAAGATGAAATATATATTTGTCCTTGTCGAATTTTTACAAACACCTGAGATAATCGTTACGCACCAGCGAGAGGGACATAGATTTCTTCGTCCGCACCAGCTGAAATACCGCGGCAGGCCGATATCGGCCTGTTACGCAGTGGACGTGATAAACAATATATTCCAGAAGATTAATTAGCTAAAATTCTTTACTTCATCATACAGATTCTGATTGACAACTTTCGAATCTCGCGTGAATTAGTACAGTTATTACTCTGATATACGCGTGTTAATAAACAAAGTATGTTTATGATACCGAGGAATCGGAACATCACGGGCTCACATTCCTTTATACCTACTTAATTTTTATTTTTAAAAATTGCGTTAAAATATTTTTTTTCGCTTTTTTTACGACTGGTGAAGGCGTCTATCGCACAGTATTGTTTTTATATTTTATTTCTACTTTTATTGGGTAAAGCTTAAATTTTTATACCAATTTCCATCAACCTTAAAACCTTGCAAAGAAATAACAATCTCAATTATTAGTCTCCTTAGTATGCCTTGTTTAAATAAAACTGGTGAAAATATCGGATTAAATTGCGGACATACATATAGGTCCAATAACCTGATGTAAGTCGTAGTTCATATATTAGAATCTGGGATATGCATAAATAGATTCTTCTTTAATGTACACCATAAGCAATGCCTAGTACGACGAAACATCGTCAAACTGACATGTCTTAGAAAAAGGGTCAGAGAAAAGACAGCCTGAAGTTATGACTTCCATATATCAAAATCCAATACGACTTTGACATTCGGGATCATAGTAAGCGCGAAATAACGTCGTACGACTACGTGTGTCAAAAGCGGAGATATAAGTTTTATTATAAACAAATACAAAATAATTATAAAGTGAGAATTAATGCTAACTGACCCTTTTGTCAAAATTTAATATATTTTTGACGTACGGGTGAAAGCAGAAAGACTAAACCCTAAGTTTCGTTTCAGAATCTTACCATTAGAGGAATCCATGGAGTAAGAATAAAACAAAAGTTATGTTTAAAACGTTTATCTTGTCTTCCTAAAGGAAGGAAGATTGGTGATTTTTACACCCTTCGTAAGAAGAATCAATAAATAACATGTGAACTGGCCCTTCACACTTACTAACATTACCGCATACATAGCTCAATGTTGACTGAGTTACGCGAAAAAAATTGCCAATAGAGCAATTGTTCTGATATAACGATATTTTGATGAGTCAAAAAAACGCCTTTCTTAGGGTAGTATTGTGCGATCTAAGATTAATACACAATCAGAAATTTTGTTGATTTCTTGGTTTAACAAGTATTGTATCCTAAAAAGTGTAGATTTGGGGATCTGAAATTTAATTTTCGTCATTATAGACGGGAATATTGTTTTATGGAACTATATGTTACTAGCTACACCCCGCCACGCTTCGCTATGGCATTGTGATTGAATGGTTGAGAAATGATAAACAAAAAAAAAGAATTCATTTCATATAAGTTTAATTTTGCAATACTTGTGAAAAAAATGAAAAAAAAAAATAGATAAAAAAATCCTTGATACGGATTATATATCACGCTAAAATTTCATCTCGATCGGTGCAGAGCTTTTCGAGTTTTTGAAGGGTACACAAACCAACAGAACATTTTTATATATATATAGATTGTTACCCTTTGTCGCTTTTAATCAAAGTATCAAAACTATCTAGGTTTTTATTTACTTTAGACACCTAAAGCAACCAGTGCTTACGATTGACCCAGAGGTCGTACATGGGTTTTTATATACTAACAATTACAAGTCCGAATAATCTACGTAAGAACGGCGTCTCATACTAAAACAATATATAGGTTGTTTGGCATA